CCGAGCCGTGCCTGGTCAGTCCTCAGCTGATGTTCTCCGAGCAATGCAGCATGAGCCTGAGCTAATGTTTCAGACCCTAAAGCACCGAGCAGAGGAAATGATGCATACCAAAGGTGGTAGCGAAGGTGAAAATGAAGAGGAAGAAGAAGATGTTGAGTTCAACAATGTCGCGGCTTGCCTCGACCGTTCGTTCCACAACATGCCGTATCTTGCGACTGAGCAGGCATCACCAAGTAACTCTCTTTCAGCTGCGATCAGTAACCTCGGGTTTTACTACTGCGACGAAGACGGCTACGATTACGTCTCTGCGTGAGAAAAGGTGGTCGTCGAGTGATTTGTTGTTGCAATATATTATCGTAAAATCGTCATGGTACGATTTCTTTAAATAAAAATTATTAAATAAGAACATGATGAGATCCATGATCCATCGTTGTTTAAGGTTTTAAGTAAGAAGATCCGAATTATGAAAGCCTTTTGTGAAACTCGGATCTTTTTATCTTATTTTATTTATTTGCCCCTTGAAATGTAGCCGTTCCCGTTTTCTTTATTTATAAAAAAAAAAAAAAATTGACCATATAAAAGAAGACCATTTTATGAGCTTTGTCTGCTGCCATTAGACGATTTCTTTCATTTTGTTAGAATTTATGAGTTATTCTTTTAGTTCAAAATTTAAAACGATGCATCGTGAACAAAGAAATCGTGAACAAGTTCTTTTCACTCTATAATAATTTAATAAATAAATAAAAACTTTTGTCTGGTTTTTTTTTGAAGGGATCAGGTTCGCCGCATCTTTTAACCGGCGTCGTGGGCCGATGTTGTTATGCGTGAAGGAGACACTACACACAAGTACCACATGGAGATGTTAGATTCTGACATTTATGTGTATTATCGACTGACATCTTTTTTATCTTCTATTAGGTTTTGGGAAGCGGTTAAATGATTATTTGATCATGTGGCTCATGATTGAGTGTTTATGTATTTTGCAGCATCGATTAGTTTTTCTTTATTTTTACGTCACGGCTTGCCGGCTTGGTGGAACACATTTCCTTTTACGTGGAAGTAATTTTGGACCCATTTTTGACATGAAAAAAGAAGAAGAAGAAAATAAATTCATATTCGAGATAATGTGTTGTTTCCATTGTACTTGTCCGGTTGTTGGCGATCATGCAAAAAAGCATATAACTCTGCGGAAAAAAACGGAAGGATTAACATTTAAAGGTGAAAATTTTGACGAAGATGGTAGAGTATACTAAGGTTCATGTCATCAATTTGTAGATGACCGTTTCACTTTGTGGTGTGTGTTTTGTTGAATATTTGTATTTTTAACTTAGAAATAAATTTATCATTCGTTCTTAAAAATATGGGAGAATCATCAATTCAAGCCTTCCTCGAAATCTTCTAAAACCGTAAAATGTCAAACACAAATTCAACCAAAACTGCAAAAACATTATATGCAAAAAAATCTTGTTTTTACTAATCTTTTTCCTAGCTCTTTATTTTCTTTTGCAAAACTGTAACCGTCTCTTTTCGCCGTGGGATTGACGATTAGCAAGTGAAAATGGGGCTAAGGTTGGAAGAATCCAATCCTATAACATATTTGCTTTGAATTTAGCAATTTGGGTTTGGAATCGGCATTTACTTTTCCCGACCATGGTCCTTACCAAAAATGCCAAGTGTTACGTGACGACATCAATTTGCAGTGATCGGTCCCGATTCCCAAAGTTAGATAACTGATTCCTATCTACCCAAAATTTCCGACCTATGGTTCAAATTGTGTCTCCAATAGATTTGGAATGTGTTTATACGTTGCGTTTCTACAATTATTAAGGGAGACAAAGCTGATTATCAAAACAACTGAGACAGAAGAACAACAGACCCTTTTTTAGACTCAGTGACTAAATTAAGGGATTAAGTGTGAATACGATGAGATGTTGTTCGATTAAACTCGTCTCTTTCGAAATATTCCTTGTGAAGAAACAGCCTCATGCGTAAGAAGACCAGTAGATTAGAGTTATACTATTCATTATCGGGTATTTGATTTGCAGCCAAGTTTGAACAAAGCAAAAAAGAACACAATCTTGTTGACAAGTTTTCATGGTCCAACATCCATGATTCAAGAGCAGCCGGAAATGTTTTAGATGAAAGATATAAACCAAGTTGAAACAAGATATTGTCTCACTGGAACGAAACATCTTTTTAAATAACAATGGGTCCCTCAAAGTTTCAACCTTGAAAGTCGTCTCCAAACCATAGCCATCGGATGCTTCAATCTGCAATAGATAACAAACACCATTGACATATAACGTGTTAGTGGTTCCACTGCGACATTTGGATATATCGAGGGACATTCACTAGAATTAAGAGAAACTATTGTGGATGCACTTGATGATTCTCTAACTTACTTTATTGATGGGTGTGAAAATATGGAAGCTAGGTTTATGGGTTGTCTTCTAGACCATAGTTATACACAATCTCAATCTGCATCAGTCACAGACCAAAAAAAGATCAGAACTTGCAAAGAAGAAAGGGAGATCATGAAAAAAGGACGTGGTAAGTGTTGAGAACGAAAAATTACCCCAGCAGGGGGAGTCGGGTTTCTACAGAACTTTGAGCCACCAGGAGCCCATGGAACTACAACAGAAAAAGTAAGTCGTTTGGAGGAAATGAACTGCTTTCTCGTTTTCTTATGTGAGAGGAATCCCATAAAGCTAATAAACATTTCTTCCTAACATATCCACCACAACTAATTCATGTGTTGAGATGCTTACCAATATAAGGATCAGGGTGCCGCCATTTGTTGTATTCTGCTTCACCATGTGCAATCAGTTTGTCGATTCTGTCGACATCCTCCTTCAAATACCCCAATCAAAGGATCATATCAAGGGACAAACAAGAATGAGAGACTCAAACGTACATTGTAATCAGCAATGTTGTCATTGTGTTCGCAGCTGAATAAAAGAATTTCATTATATAATTCTCAACACCAGTTTTAAAAAAGGTACATCCTTTACTTGAATTCAACAAAACATTTCATAGATTGCACTGAAACATTAATCATATGCTGCTGATGGATTGCGAAAACCAGAGTTCCAAATTGTAATGATAATGAGTGAAAATGCAAACTCAACACACGAATCATTGAACAACATCTCTATTTCCCTAATCTCCTACCTATTCGTAGCAGAGGCATCTGTGAAACAAGCTTCCACACACATTCACTTCTTTGATAATAGCAAAGAATCTAAACAACTTAGCAAGAGAAAATCCAGTAGACACGTTTCCACAACAAAAGTCCCCAATTTTCTCATCCAAACACACTTACATGGTTATGGTCATATCTCTAAAGTCTCTCTACCAAAATTCAACCAAACAAAAGAAGATAAAAATTGTCCATTTCTACAGATTATTGAAACATTTTAACAATCAATAATCAAACAAGGCAAAGAGAGGTATGTAAAATGAAAGGAGAAGAGAACAAACCACATCTTGGTTAGCATTGAACTTCTCACGAAGATCAGAAGCCTGAATAGGAACGAAGAACAATGAAATCAAAACCAAAATGCGAGATCGGTAAAAAATCAAAAGTCCGATTCGGAGATCTGAGGAAAAGACTTACGTCACGGTAAAAGATATGGCGATGAACAGCCCAATTGAGAGTATCCTTAAGGGCACGGCGATAGAGGATTCGAACCCTCTCCTTCTGCGCCGCTCGACGCGCAAAATACGCCGCCGTCGAAACTCCGCTCATTTTCTGATTTCCGGTTGATTTCGGGTCTCTCTACACTCTTTTCTTCTTCTTCCTCTAATTTCCCTTTTTTCAACAGTGAGAAACCTTCTGCTTCAGTTAGAGGGACCGAGAAGAAGTTTCAAATGGGCCTTTGAGTTCGAGCTTGAATTAAAACAAGAAATCGGTCCATAAAAAAAGAGGAGGAGGAAAAAAAACTCCGTTGCCGGGACTCGAACCCGGGTCTCTCGGGTGAGAGCCGAGTATCCTGACCAGCTAGACTACAACGGATTGTTGACATAGTCAAAGATATAAGTAACTTAACAGAGAAAAAAGATTACCAAATTTCTTGGGTGAGAGCTGAGTATCATGTACCATCTGTTTTTGTTTTGGATATAGCTTAGGCAAATATTTGTAATTTGTAGCATCAAAAAACATTTCCAAACAAAATTTTTAAGGTAAGATAGACTTACCCTATGCTTCATGAATCAAGATCTTTCAAAATTCATATCTGAAGCAAAGAGTCTTAAGTTAACATAGACTTAATGTATCATATTGTTTTGTTTATTTTACACTGGTTTGAAGCCTTATTAGTGCTATGAACCTTGATTGGAGACAAAATAAAATACAATTTGTTGATGTTATCAATGAGCAAGTTGAGATTGCGTTGCTTTGAAACAAAAGAAGATCCAAAGGATTATAGATTTCAGATTGGTGGTTGTGCTTGGGGAAAGTCAGAAAGAGATAGCACATGATAAAGCTACTTTTCTATTGAAATCTAGTTTATGAAAGAACACTTATGAAACTACTGACCAAAGGGTCCATGGAAGTGTGGTCCTTGTATTATAAAATCTTTATGTAACAATTGATATGAATTAAGAACTTGTAGGTAGAAAATTAAAGCTGGTAAATTCCATGTGCCGGCTATGTGTATGTTGTGTACTTGTGTTTAATCATGTTGTCACAATAGTCAGTAGTCCATGCTTAAACATTTTATGCTTGCAAAAGGGATTGATTTTCTTTGAAGCACAACTATTCAACGTATAGATGTAGATCTTGTAAAGTAATTACTCTTTAACTAAGAAGTGGACTAAGGTTTTGTGAGTTTGACCTGCTTTTTTCTTTCTTTTATCTACTATATCACAAACTACAGTATTCTGGAGTTTTCAAGATGATTCTTCCATTTGGCATTTTGTTTACTCAAAAAGTCTATAAGCCACTACACATGGACCAAAATCATTCTAAGTAGTAGTAGTGGTGGTGGTGGTCTTATAAATCATTAAAAAACATGATTTTGTTTATAGAATACCATTGTTTACTTAAGACTAGTTCCTGAAACAGTTTCAAATGTTAAGAAGCAAGTTGTTAAATTACAACACTACAGATAATGTTACAAAAAGTAGGTTTTACCTAAGTCTTATCTACCACTTGCTGCCAAATTTGACTTGGTTTGATTTAGTACTAGCTTCACCTGTTTCTTCACCCAACTCTTTACTCTTTCTCAATTCCAGAACCTTCCTATGTAGATTTGAATGAATCTCAGTCGAGAACGTCGGACTATCCGCCGGTCTATATTCCGGGCAGAGCCTACCAGACTTAAACCGGACTCCACATGCATTACATAAAGTTTTGGGACCGACCGGACCGGTCCTCCACTGTGGTGTGTTGTTTGTGCCACAATGGCTGCATCTTCGTTGAAACACAACGGCCGTTTCTTGTTTCTTCTTCCTCAACTGCTCTGTTGCTGCATGTTGATGATTGGTTGAAACGAGTGGCCAAACACGACCACCGGTTAAACTGTTCCGAGACCGTTTAGTTCTTGGTTTAACCGGAATTCTTGAGAAGCTTGGTTTGGTTTTGTGGGTTTGTGTTAAGAGAAGTGAGACTTCTGGTGATGAACAATCATCCACAACACGAGATACCCATTCAAGCTCTTCCACATCTTCATCCTAAAATATCACAAAATAAAAAATAAAAAAAATCAAGAAAATATAAATATCTTTTAATTATAAGAAAGAAAAAGAAAAAGGAAGCTTCTAAATTTACCGGCAAAGAAGGAAGTTGATCAAAGATGCAAGGTTGTGAACTAAAGATACAATCTTGTTCTTGTTCTTGTTCTTCTTGTGAAGAAGAAACAGAGACAAGTTCTTCTTCTTCTTTTTGACCTTCTGAGAAATCGAGGAAACACTCAACGGAGAAATCTTCGGACAAAGAAGAAGTTCGGCTTAAATCTTCCGACACAATCAGTTGGTGATGTTTCAGAGATGTAGTAGATTCTCCTCTTAGACTTGCCTTTAGGGCTCTAGCTTCTGTCCACAGCTCCATTAACTCTTTAACACATACACATATACATATAGAAGAATCTTTTTAAGTTTCACTTGACATAGTCTTAATTCTCAACTATTACAACAACCATAAACAAAACATACATACGAGGAGGCTAAAAAGCTAAAGTTTATGATCTATAACAAAGTCTGCGCATGCAAACTTTCGAGAAATTAGAAAGATGTGAAGAGGAAAGAGGTATGTGGGATATGCTCATCGTATCTCTTTACCTGACAAAGACGAAGAAGAAGCAAAAAAGCTGAGAGAATGGCGAAGAAACAGAGGAAGAGAGAGAGAGAGAGAGAGAGAGAGAGAGAGGAGAAAGTAAGAGGGCACTGAAGTTAAAGGATGATTCTTGAAGGGGTTAAAAGGTAAAACAGAGACTTTGTGAATTTTATGTGTGCTTGTGCTTCTTCCAATTCCAAAAGTTAAAGCTCTTTCTTCCTATCTTTTTTTCTTTTGTTTGTTTGTTTTCTTTTCCCCTAATTTCTAGTTTATGGAATATTACAAAATCTTCTCTCACGAATGATACTAGATTGGTATTTCAGGATCAATGCTTTTCCTCTTCTTTATTTGTCTCTTCAATTTCGTGTAAAACGATGTGTCCTTTATTCAATGTAAAATATGGATCATAATCAGGATTAAGTCTAATCCACTCGCCTCTATATTTCATTTCAAGCTCACAAGACTTGTTAAGAATTGTTTACATATTTTATAAATTAGTTGATTAATTATTCAATTTTTGTTGCTGCTCATTTCGTTATTACTTACTACTCCCTCTGTTTTTTAAAAGTTGTCATTTTAACTGTATTTGGACAAATTAAGAAAATGTATACAATGACTATATTAACCTCATAAAAATGACAAGTAATTATTTACAAATAATTTGTGTTCAATAAAATGAGGGTAATTTGGGTAGTTATTGGCATAAATTACATTATTACCTTAAAACGACAACTAATTTAAAACAAAAAAAAAGCTCTAAAATGACAACTATTCAAAAACGGAGGGAGTATTAGATTTTGTTTTTAGACGAAAAGAAAGAGATAAAAAGTGCTGATTTCTTTTTATTTTCACGTCCTTTGTTTTCTCCAATTTTCTTTGGACCTAATCAATGAGTTCTTTACGTGGATGTTTTTGGCTTGGGCTTATCCTTCGTCACCACATATTTGATAAGTCAGGTCTGTTTCACATTATTCAATACAAATTTGATTGATTTTATTATAATTATTGTGAAGGGTTATATCATGATGCTGTGTTCCTTGTCCATGCCAATTTAGCTAGCTAGTCTTGTCAAAAGGGTTGACCATTTCTTATAAGGAAATGCTGAAACATTTAAGATTTACAAATGTTGAATTTGTTAGTATTCCATAATATACTACCATTAACAATTTTATATTACATACAATATTTTGCTTGTACTTTGACAAAAACAAAAATATTTTGCTTGTCGTGTTAAAACTAGTGTCATTGAAAGTCACCGATTAAACCTGTGATCTAGTCTTTTTGACATCTTAAGAAATTTTGACATCTAACTAAATGTCCAAATGAAACAAAGTTACAAGAACAATACCACAAATTATGAAATCTATATAAATCATCGAATCTTTTTTTTTTTTTCAAACATTATAAATCATCCAATCTAAAATCTTTTAATCGAGGTAGATGTCCCATAATGCATCTGAAAAAAAAAGCCCTGAGATGCAAATATTTAAAGAAAATAATAAGAAATCTCACTTAGCCTCGTACCTTAAGAATATAAAACAATTTATGAAGCATAAATTGATTTTTACATTACCAAGGTCACAACTCTAATAAAAACGCTAATTTTGAATTCATTTTTAAAATTCATATAATCAATTAGATTTTTGAAGCTGAAATACAAATTTATATATTATGTAATACAGTCTAAAACATATTAGTATGCATGGTAACATTTTTTTTTTTTTTTTAATGGTAACATTTTTGACTCGAATAGATAAAGATAATAGTATTTCAGCATTAATTGTTAGTGACAAGTGACAAACAATGGTTACGCGATTATATAACAAAACATTGCCATGCAGTCGGTAATGGGCAAGGGCATATATGATCTATCCAATCTTCTATGTTCTGCTATTTTTGGCATTAGATATAAGATTAGGTAACCAAAAGGAGAAAATAGTATTCCGATAGACACATTAAGCATATTGATTCTATTCTATGAAAAATTACAGGATATATCATATATATGTATAGATCAGATGTCAATCTGGATTACGTCGATTTGTAATAAACAGAATTAGGATCATCTCTACCGAAACTCCTTGAACATTTTTATTTTTATTTTTCAAAATAAACAATTAAAAAGTTGACAAAAAAAAAAAAACAATTAAAAAACAAAAACAAAAAAACAAATGTTGAATTCAAATTCGATTGAAACACTATGCCAACCCCAAAACAGCATAAATAAAGTTCCTTTTAAGTTTTAACATACACTACGCAAACAAAAAAAGAAGTGTGGGTTTTGGTAGTGATGGGAATGGAGAATTGGAGATGGTGCAAACCACCACCGTTGGAGTGGAGTTCACCAAAGCAACCACTATAGCCAAATCCTTTTAAAAATTTTATTTTACTTTTAATAAGTATCAAAGTAATCTTTCCTTACAATTATAAAATCTTCCTTTTTAGTATAATTGGTCTTAAGACAAGATATAGGGGTTGGTTTTTTCGAAAGAGTCGTTACGATCACTTAGTTTGGTACTGGTAGTCTATTTTTTTCTGCCAACCTTAGTTTATTAGTGTATGGGGCTTTATACTCGTGTCACTCTATACACATTAATGTGTGTTTGAAGCTTTTCTATTTTGAAAGTTGGTATATATATTTTTTTAATTTTCGTGAAATTAGGGGACAACAGAAAAAGATTGAAAAAGGGAGCAGGCTGGTGAGGAGTGACGAGAGCGTAATGGGGGAAAAGAGAACGTGTCCCATTTTCCTCTTATTCGTCGATTCAATACGCATCATCATCATCATCACTCTTTCCTTTTCTTATCTTTTTAAACATGGAGTAGTTTTTATCATTTTTGACGTCAAGAAAATGGGTGAGAGTTTCAAGTCCTGTAATCAATGCAAGTGGTTTTGCGTTAGTGATTCTTGTATTCACAATATCTAACCTAGAAAGTTTTACCTAATAAAACTTCAATTGATTTACCTAAGATCCAATCTATCTTCATGATGCAAATGTATTTTCCGTATCGCAAATTTGAAATATATATAGTTGTTATATCACTTAATTATAAAAAGATATTAAAAAGAACATAACGAAACGTAAATTTCCGCCACAATTGATGTTCTAAATGTGTTTTGTATCTCACATAAAAATAAGAAAAAACGAAAACGAAAACGAAAAAAGTTAACACAAAACATATTCATTGCGTTTTAACAAAACATAATCCACTTGAACCACTACATATATTTTACAAAACATTGTAATCATTCATCACGGACCATAGTCAAAATAAATTTTAAGAAAAATAAAAAAAAGTCTTTACAGACTAAACAGCTAATCATTATTCGAATCAAAGGCAACACTGAAGAGATGAGGATAATTTGACTCCGTCGAATAATTGAAGATCATACAACGAGGTAATTCGATGTGGTGTAATAGCAGAGTTAGATACTTATTATAGTGTACTTGTAACAAACGAAATTAATCGATACATAATTTGATTCAATAAATTCTTGATCATGCCTGATATGTTAACACTTTCAAAGTACTCAAACATCTACAACTATACGACAGTTTAAGAATTTAAACTTTCATAACTGATTCATTTCAATCAAAAAGAGGGCAAATCCAGTAATGAAAAGTAGAACTAAGGAGTTTAATATAAAAAAAGGTAACACATGATAAACAATAAGAGAGTTATAGATATCCATCAAAAACGAATCCAAAACCAGTCACACAAATGGCGACATAACATCAGGTTCTTTTTTTTTTGCCAGCGAAAAACAAACAAATCTATAGTCCTCTAAGCTCCGATGATTTCTGTTGGTTCCTCAGCCATTGTCTCATCAGCTGGCCTGTCTACCTTCACACCAACATCCTCTGCTGTGTAATCTCCATGCACCTAGAGAAAAACAAGACAAACAGAGTTAGATCCATGGCTAGACCAAGACTGAAGCAACAGTGACGACATTAATGTGATTTCAATTTACCTCCATGAGCTTTCCAAGGTCAAACTTGGGAGCCTTTAGGATCTTCACTTTACGGATGAAAACGTTTTGCAACGGGTAGATGCCCTGTGTTGCCTTCTCAATCTCTCTTCCAATGGCCTCTGGGATGAATTTGGCCACAAGCTCTTTGAGGTCACAAGATGAAGCCTCCTTCACCATAATCTCACTCATCTTTCTGCGAATCTACAAGAATCAAGAAACATTACAAGGAAAATGTTAATCTTCAGTTCACAGAAAGCCAATGATAAACACATGGTATATTACCTGACGGATTTGGCTGGATTGAGCGTAACAAGTACGCTTCACTTGGTTAGCACGTCTCTTTGTGAAGGCGATGCAGAACAGCCTCAAGGTGTAGCCGTCTGTGGTTTTCACATCGACATGGGCTTCAATCAAAGTCTGCCACTTCTTCACCAATGACCTTAGCTTGTCGGTTGTGAAATCCATACCCTACAGATCATAGATTAAAAACATAACTTCGTATCAATAAGACTTTTGGTACAAGAATTCTGCAAAGGTGTGAAATTTATCTTACCCAGAACTGGGTCAAGACATTCCTTCCCTGAACATCTTCAGCTCTAAGACGGATCTTCCTGTAGGCATTATCCTCATCTACTTGTAAATCAGCCAGAGAAACCTCAAAAACCCTGTGTTTCAGTCCCTCAGAGGCAATCTGTTTATATTAACAGCGTCAGATATGACAAAGGAACACTCTTTACTATCACAATGCAATTCCTATTACTCCAATAATGAAACCCACAAAAAGCAAATGCCCATCTCTACACCTAACATCTATGCCATAAGATACCTATTGAATCAAAACATAGAAAGCTCTAACCTTTACAAAGAACCCTAAACAACTCCCGAGTATAAAGTAATAGACATAAGAACATTTTACCTTGGTACCCTGAGTCCTGGAAACAAGAGTCTTGCCAACATTCCTGTTGGTGAATGAAGCAGGGGCCTTCACGTCATACCAATCCTTCTTGGAGAAAGGATCAACACTGCACCATCAATAACAATTCAATTAACAGAACTATATACTGATTACAATTAGAAATCTGACAAAATTTTATTGAGGGAATAAAGTTACTCACGCCTTCTTCTTTCCTCCTTTCCTACCCTTTGAAATCCTCTTGTTCTTCCTATAAGATCCGAACAAAACCATAGATCATCAGAACATGATATACTCGAAGCTATCATCAAATGACAGATTCCGATACAGAATCTGGAGAAATAAGCGAGGAAGAGAGAGATGCGAAGAAGGATTTACCCGACAGCCATGGTTTGGGGTCTTCAGATGGTGTAGCGACGACGAGCTACAGTGAGGAAGAAGAAGAAGAAGCGGCTTCAACAAGTGAGAGAAAGCCCTAATTCACTGGCTTTTCATTTATATATGTCTAGGGTTTTGCGTCTTTTTAGTTTTTGAGATGAAATAAACTTAGTGGATTTGATTTTCAAGCCCAATGGGCCATTATAGAGAGCCCAATATATAACCTTTTGAACACTTCTTGTTGAGAAAGAGACTCTCTTTATCTTTGATTTCTTCGTGTTCGAAAGCAGAGAAAATTTGTGCTGAGCTCAACGCCATTTTTGACGATTTCGAATCTCTTTCTTCTCTGAATTGTTCCAAGTAACCGGAGGTAACTCGTAAAGTGGAAGAAAGGTAACAAGGAGGAAGAAAGAAGGAAGATTTGTGAAGAGCTCTTGATCTGGTGAAGAATGGATGCAATTCGAAAACAAGCTAGCAGGTTGAGAGAACAAGTTGCGAGACAACAGCAGGTTAAATTTCTTGACTTTTGATTTACCCATTTGCTTAGATCCCGTTTCTTTATCTTTTTCTAGATTTTGTTTTGTCTTCTATTGTGATTTTGTTGATTCGTTGGTTTTCTGGTGAATCAATCAATAATGTGGTGATGATGAAGGAGCTAGCTTTTTTCTGATCGATGGTTTTTGACTTAATGATTAATTGGATCTGAGTGTTATTAATTCCTTGATTCGATGTGAGATTGGGTAAAATCCTTTAGGATTGGGGAAGTTTCAGTCAAATCAATTGTGATGTCTTTTATGTCAATGGGTCATGTAGCATTGTTTGGCTTAGATACTTTTATATGCCAAGATCAAAATTGATTTGAGTGAATACGTTTCGCTTTTTTGAGCTGGGATTTGAAAGATTTTGTAGTCATAGATAAACATCTTGGTGCTACATGTTTCAAGTTACCATGAGATCGGGTGTTTTTGTTCTCGAGTTTGAGGTTAATTAGTAGTTTTTGTGGAATGTTTAAGGCTGTGTTCAAGCAATTTGGAGGAGGAGGATATGGCTCTGGTTTAGCTGATGAAGCAGAACTTAATCAGCATCAGAAGCTAGAAAAGCTTTACATATCCACTCGTGCTGCCAAGGTTATTTCTTGAGCTGTTTTTGACTAGTTTAAAGTTTTGATCACTATTGATTTGGACTCATACATACTTCCTTTACAGCATTACCAAAGAGATATTGTTCGTGGTGTGGAAGGTTATATAGTCACTGGGTCAAAACAAGTTGAAATAGGTGATTTTGTTGATCCGAGTGTTGACTTATAATATCTCTTTTCTTTCTGTTAGAGACTTGAATTGGCTCACATGCCTGGCTTTCATTGTTGTTCCTCAGGGACGAAATTGTCTGAGGATAGCAGGAAATATGGTTCAGAAAATACATGTACGAATGGTAACGTATTAACACGGGCTGCACTGAACTATGGGCGAGCTCGAGCACAAATGGAGAAGGAGCGTGGAAATATGTTGAAGGCTCTCGGTACACAGGTTTGTCTTTCTCATCTTCCATCAAAGTGTTAAGCATTAGCACATATCTTTTGCATGCGATTTGACTACACAAAGAATTACATTCCTGCCATCGTTAGTGGAATTACTGCCATTTGTGGGAAGATCTATTACTTTTATCTGGGAGATACTGTTGCTTACATACTCCTTAAAGTCAATTAATGTCATGGTGTTCACTTGGTTCATTCTTTATTGCGATTTGGCGACTACATTCATATGTCAATCTGGAATTTTAAACCTGAATCTGTTAGGTTGCTGAGCCATTACGGGCAATGGTTTTGGGAGCTCCATTGGAGGATGCTAGACATCTTGCTCAACGCTATGACAGAATGCGCCAAGAAGCCGAAGCTCAGGTACCATGAAAGATAATACCATGAAGCAATTTGATTATCGTTATGAGAAATATGGGTGTTTTCCTCTTTCAAGAACTAGCCATTTGTTATTACTACCATGATAGAATTTTACTCATCCGCCTGCTTTAAATCTAAACAGGCTACAGAAGTTGCCAGACGCCAAGCAAAGGCGAGAGAGTCTCAAGGTAATCCTGACATCTTGATGAAACTGGAATCTGCTGAAGCAAAACTTCAAGACCTAAAATCAAATATGACAATATTGGGGAAAGAAGCTGCTTCAGCTTTAGCTTCCGTTGAAGATCAACAACAAAAATTGACTCTTGAAAGACTTCTGTCAATGGTAGTGCGATTGGTTACAAGATCCATTTTTAGGTCAACTTTGATTTACTTACCCATATGTACTTCTTTTGTAACAACTGTATTGTTCATTCCTGATCTCAGGTTGAATCTGAGCGTGCTTACCATCAAAGAGTCCTCCAAATAATTGACCAGCTCGAAGGAGAGGTTGGTGTGCATTAGTTTACAGCTTTCAGTTTCCTGTCATAGTAATAGTATTCTTGTTGGACAGTCAGTTTATCATTATACGAATCAATTAAGGGCAAAATGGAACATTTTTGAACCTACAGATGGTGTCTGAGAGGCAACGTATAGAAGCTCCCTCTACTCCCTCAAGCGCAGACAGTATGCCGCCACCTCCATCATATGAGGAAGCTAATGGAGTGTTTGCATCTCAGATGCATGACACGTCAACAGATAGCATGGGTTACTTCTTAGGAGAGGTATGCTTTTCAGTCTTTAATGCTGTCTAGTACCTTCCTTAGCGAGTTAAAACTTTTGTTTATAGTGGTAGTAAAAGTATCAAAGAGATAACAGGATTATAAGTTCTCCACGTAGGCATTGGATGTATATAACCTGTTTTTGATTAGAGAACCGAAAAGACAGGCTACATGTTGTTTCCTTTTGGTCCTCGTTTGATGTGCCGTTATAACATATTATTTCCTTTTAAAAAAACGTTTTCAGGTTTTGTTCCCATATCACGGTGTGACAGATGTCGAGCTCAGCTTATCAACTGGTGAATACGTTGTTGTTAGAAAGGTTCGATAGTAAACCAACTCCCACATGAGAAAACCAACAAAGGCTCCTTTAATCCATATTAACCGATACAGTTATTCAATAGTGTTTGTTTCATATACCATTTGTCTATTTGTCATTGTCAGGTTACAGGCAGTGGATGGGCCGAAGGTGAATGCAAAGGCAAAGCCGGTTGGTTCCCTTACGATTACATTGAAAGACGGGAACGAGTTCTTGCTAGCAAAGTGTCCGAAGTTTTCTGAGAATTCGAAGGTAACATCGTTCTTTGTTGGTTATGGAATTGAGTTGCTTCTGTAGAAGAGTTGTGTGTGTTCTGTAGAAAGAAAAAGAAAGAGAAGATTCACCAGCTAAAGCAGAAGTCCATATACATTATCGGATTGAATTAACGTTCATGAGGATCAGAGTTGATGTGGGTTTCTGCGATGTTCTGAATCTAGTAGTGATGCCACTTGAACAAGAGTTCAGTTTTTAGGTATTATCTCAATATTGGATTTGGATCTTCTCTTTGGCATTTGATGTAAACGCCAAATCTCTGTTTATCTTCATATGTGAATTCACTTCTTTTGGTTTTTTTTTTTACTTCTGATTTTTTTTGTCCAATCTACTTTCATTTGATAACCTTGAAACTTGATGAAGAAGTGATTATTTTTCAAGTTTACGCAAAAGTGTTAGTACATTATTTGAATACCACTCTGCAATTTATCAAACGTAAAGTTCGATTGGAATTCCTGATAAAACGGAACAACTGAAAAAGAAGAGAGAAAAAAAACAGAAAATTTGACAATTGAAATCGTAGACAATTTTGAAATCAAAAACAAAGACAAGGGAGAAAAATAGCAGAAGTTTAGTAAGGAAACAATCTTGAATAGACAATCAATTCAAGATTTGATCAAACATTCAAAGAAGCTAGAAATTATGTTTATGATGACTCCAAGATCATGAAGTCACACAATCAGAGTCATTTACGTTGGTTTGCTTCGAGATATATATACAACGACTATGGCCAGTAGAAGCACAAACATTACAACCTGCAATTTCATGAATAGAGTAGAGGAGGATGATGAGTAACTTAATCCTAAATATGAAACACTTTCTATGGAAGTCTGATATAAAATTAACTTACAAAGATAGCCTTGGACTGTGTTTCATCGTTAACATAAGATTTTCTGACCAGCATTAAGAAGAAAAAACAGACAAAAGATTCATTAGAACCTCAAACAAAACATAAAAGATCATTTTATTTGCTAGAACAAGTAGAAGAAACCAAGAAAAAGCAGAGTCTACCTTTTGTGAATGACTCCATTTTCTTTGCAAACTTTCTTGATGGTTTCGAGTCGGTTTAATGTTTTCATGGCATTTGGATCGTTCTTGTCAACCTATTATTAAATAACACATATCTCACCTTCTAATTACCAACACTAAACACTGGAAATGTTCAAACGTATACATACCTTTGTTTGTAGCATGCAAGAAAAATCATAGAACGCACCATAGACATCATCCATAGTCTTTGTGAGATCAATTACTTTAGCTATTAGACCTAAACATAGAAATGTTTGTAACATAACTCAAGATAAATTTAGATGATGAAATTCTGTTAAAGATTGCAAATCAAACTCAAGATAAACCTTCTACCTCGTCTCAGTCTCACGGCGCCTCTAAATACTTGTACATTGTTATAGCATAATGTAAGTGTTCCAATCGCCACGATCTAGTCAATATTTCATATCAACATAAACACTTCTCAGGTAAATATTTAAAGCAGAGTAAAATATTAAATTAGATAGGAGAGGCTAAATAGTATGTGATACATTGTGTTTTCTCTAACCTGAGGGATGGCACAAGACTGAAATATTGCAGGATCACGCAATGAAGCCAATGATTTCAAACAATCTTCAACATGAGTCAACGCATTAGTGACCATTTCATTTAGACACTGCACTGCTTGTGTTGATTTCTCCTCATTTTTTAAGTCCTACATTGTAAGAATTCACAAAAAGAAAAGAGTCACATTGTGTTTTTTAATATGAGAGCTTGAGAGTGAAGTGTATGCACCTCGAGCTTGTCAACATATTTCCCCCAAATCTCACGAGGCCAAAACATACGCGATTTTGGTATCTCATTAATGTCTTCAAGATAATCTTTGATAATGTTTGTTTTCTAGCAAGTAAGATAACATACAAAAAAACTCCAAAAATTGCAAATAGATTTGAGGAAGTTCCTTGTACATGTCAATATTATACCATTGTAATGAATACCTGGAGAAATAAACCTGTAGAATTTGAAATCTGCTTCCAATCTGGAGTCAGTATTTCCAATTCCGAAGCGATGAAGATTTTTGACAAGCCTAAACCCACAAGTCCTGCAGCATAATGGCAGTATTCATCATAGTCATCAATTGTTTCTACCTGTCGAATACACAAATAATTTCAGCTGTTAACAAAGCATGCTAAAAAGTTTTGATGCTTAACTTCTATATTCTAACTTCAAAACTGAAACAACACATCACAGAGATTCTTTGTATCACAAACCTCCTTGCAAATGAACTTGGCCATTCCTGCACCCATTCTTTTAGTTATATCTTCAATAGCCTCTTGATACCTTTTTGTTTAAGTTAGGAAAGCAACATAAATTAGTATCACCAAATTCAGTAGATCAATCAATAAACAACATTTATAAAAACAGAACAGAGAATAATTAACCCTTTTTCAAGTTCCAGAAAAGCTGCAGAAACATGGTGAAATTGGTCCATTAGAACTTTGTAATCTTTTGTACCACCTAAAATTGAATGAAGAGAAAATTAAGAAAAAATTAACAGTTTCATCTGAAAGATTAAGATGTCTCTTCTTATCACTTACATGAGAAATGCCAGCCACCATCGTATAAGTGACGGTGGAAAGCTATCAGAATTGGAACTTTGGTTTCCATTGGAATGCTTGTGTCATCCTCTGTAGTAACAAAAAAAAATTACTAATTTCTTACATCAAGAATTTTCTGCCATTGAAGAAAAAAAGATAGATCTATATTAATCAAAACATAGATATTATTAAAAGAAAGTTGGAGAAAAAGACTCTTCAAATTAAAGGTAATGTTTGGAAACAATAGTTATGAAGCACTAACCAACAGTATCAAGAGCTCGGAGAATCAAGTAGAACACACACACCTAATAAAACAAAGAAAATGTTGGAAATATTGCTGTAACTAAAAATGTAACAAAGCTATATATAAGAAAAACAAAATTTACTTGTCGAATAAAGTTAAAATCTAAGTCAATCTACAACACAGACTATATATCACAAACTCTTAATAAATCCATGTTGATGATATATTACTGAGACAAAGAGGCAGAAAAATACATACTGCGTTACGAAGCTCGGTGCCAAGTTGTTGAATAACAAGAGAAAAGCTTTTAGAAACTTTGTGGAGCATTGAATAACAGAAAGCTAAGTGTGGCTCAAGTGGGATCTGCTTCTGAGCTTTCGTAATCGCAAGTTTCAACTTCAAGAGCGGATATAACTCATCCGGGTGTCTCAAAATCGTACTCAAGCTTCCCATTTTTAGAAACAGAGGAAAAAAAATGGAACTCCTTTGTAACAATGACAAGCCAACAATGGAGGATTAGTTGGGGAACAAAATGGTTGACCAATATGCTATAATACAAGTATACAACAAATATGGACCCCACGGCATTTGCATACCTTGCACTTCCACAGAATCGCCCTTGGCCTTGCTCTTAAGACTTAAACTTGCCACGATGATACATGGGTCCAACGATGTTCTCTTTTGGCATTTTAACTTGCTTGCCGCATGCTACACACTTAACGTTAAAAAAATAAATGTAAGAATGTTGCCGACCTAAAAAGAAAGAAGAGATTTCCACAAAGTCTTCGATTGTTACTTTTCTATCTTTTTTTTTTTCTCTTGTTGCATTTGGATTTATCTGGTTGATAGTAAAATTAATCTTGGGATCCAATTGAAATTCCGGAATGAGGCCTGATTAAAGATGTTATAACATGCCAAAAAATAACAAAAGAAGAACTTTAAACTAAACACAAGGGATAAAAATAAAGGAACAAATGCACGTTTAGACAAAGAAGGTAGTAACTAAAACAGAATCCATGGTTTTAGACCAAACCATGTATAAACTCTCTTTGTTCTCGAAACAATCTTGCTTAGGATTCAGTGGCGTGAATAAGAATAAACCTTGATTACTTCATCACTCAATATTTGCTCTCAACATCTTGAATGATGGTGATACAATCAGACCCAGGTTGCTCTGAGATATGCAAAGACTATCGCCAGTAGAATCACAACCATTATGATCTGCGTTTTCAGGTAGACAAGAGCGTCAGTTATATATATATATATATATATATATTTCAAAACAAATGAGATACATGTATGGAAAAGGGAAAAAATGTAACTTACAAAGACATTGTTTGGTTGTCCTTTGTCATTAACATATGATTTTCTGAAAGAAAGAGAGACAACGATATATCAGAAACCCAACCAGAAGGAAAGATTATGATGATATTATCCTATTCTGGAATACTTGAGACCAGTTTCTTAGTGAGAGGATTAATCTAATGCAGCTCAAAAGAAAGACTGTACCTGTTATGGAGGACTCCAGTGTCTTTGCAGAGTTTCTGAACTGCTTCGAGTCGGTTTAGTGTCTTACTAGCATTTGGATCGTTGTTGTCAACCTATGTTAATATTTGTCGATAGAAAATTCACATATGATTCTTTTCTAAGAATAGAAACAGAGTGAAAATAAAACAAGTCACAAACATGGAACTAATGACTACCTTTGTCTTCAGCATGCAAGAGAAATCATAGAACGCACCATAGACATCAGCCATTGTCTTTGTGCGATCAATGACTTTAGCAGTTAGACCTAAACAATAGATAGTGTTCAGCAATATTAGGTTTCAGATAATAAGGCTAGCTACACGTTCTCAAGCTCGTTGATAATAAAAGATTATGGGTTTTCCTTTCTCAGAAATAGAAATCAGGGATTGGCCTACATAATTTCTAAGGCTTAACATCTTACCTCGCCTCAGTTTCACAACGCCTCTGAATACTTGTACATTGTTATAGCATAATGCAAGTGTTCCAATCGCCATGATCTGATCAAGAAAACACATCCAAGCAAAGCAATATCAACTTCTAAGCCCTAAGGCATTCTATATCAATGCAGACCTAGTTAAAGAGGAGATTATCTAATTCCATATGACGAGGAAAACAATATAAACAGTTCTCAACGTGAACTTTAAAGACTAACAATTATGTGATATCTCTTTCTCTAACCTGAGGGATGGCACAGAACCGAAATATGGAAGGATCACGCAACGCAGCCATGTATTTCAGGCAATCTTCAATATGTATCAACGCATTGGTAACCATTTCATTCAAGCACTGTACGGATTTGGTTGAGTTCTCCTCGTATTTTAAATCCTACATTACAATTTATAAATCACAAAAAAAGGCACTGTCAGAAATTAGTCAATATGGGTAACATCAGACAAAAGATGAGTGCTTGAAAGTGGTAAGTAAGCACCTCAAGCTTGTCAGCATATTTGCCCCAAATCTCGCGAGGCCAAAACATGCGGGATTTTGGTATCTCATTAATGTCCTCAAGGTAATCTCTGATAATGTTTGTTTTCTGCATATAAGACCAGTGTTATAAATCATTCGATGATAGACATTGTCGAAAGTTGCAGAATATTTGAGGAAGAAACAGTGTACACCTTCAAAATACATTGTTGTACCTGTAGAAATAAACCCATTGAATTGGAAATCGCCTCCCAATCTGGTGTCAAAACCTCTGATCCGGCTGCGAGGAAGAGTTTCGACAAACCTAAACCCACAAGCCCAGCAACATAGTGGCAGTATTCATCATAGTCATCAACAGTTTCTACCTGTGTATAACAGTGAAAACTGGATCAACTGGATCGGTATACAAATGATAAGTTTTGGTACTTTCAATACAAATACTACTTGTCATATCATAGAACAAGAATCACATGAGTCATTCAAATATAGATCTGATGTTATGATTTATGACAAGAGTAAGTATGACAGAATTCTAACTGAAACAGAGACCCTAGTCTAGCTCAAGACATTTGTCACCATAACTCAAAAACAAATCTAGCTACGAAAAATGCTATGTATCACAAACCTCCTGGCAGATAAACTTGGCCATCCCTGCACCCATTCTTCTAGTAATTTCCTCGATAGCCTCTTGATACCTTCATATACAAAGGCATAAATTATAAAAATAACATAATTAGTATTGTCAGAAAGCAGATTGGAGTTTCAAAAAATTAAGTACCTCAAACAATAAACGTGAAATAACATGAGCAGAAAAAAAAAACTAAAAAATAGAACAGAAGTGCATATAGCAAATATTAGAACTAACCCTTTTTCAAGTTCCAAAAAGGCTGCAGAAACATGGTGAAATTGGTCCATTAGAACCTTGTACTCATTCGTACCACCTAAATTTTGAATAAGTGAAATTTGTAAGTTAGACAGTCAAATATTAATGGCAAGTGAAAGATGAAGATGTAAAGAGACTCTTCAGACTTGCATGAATAATGCCAGTCGGTGTTGTATATGTGCCGGTGGAAAGCTATCAGGATGGGAACCTTTTCATCAGTTGGTATGCTTGTATCATCCTCTGTCGTCCAACAAAAAAAAAAATAATATTAGCGGCAGGATAATGAGAAAAGAAGATGGCTCTAACATTTGCAGATTTTGGCGAAGCCTCATTTAAAGCATAGTTAAGAGACACTAACCAACAGTATCAAGAGCTCGGAGAACCAAGTAGAACACACACACCTACAAAATGATAAGGCAATTGACTAAGAAAATGCTTCAAGATTGCACTGATGGCATGTGAGCGAAGCAAGATACGTGGAAACCTTAGAAACAAGAGGAAACAAATCCCCCAGTTAAAATACAATCTGCATTTACTGCAGCTCAGATAAACTACAGAATCAATTTATAGCAATCTGCAGAACTCTTATTGAAGTTAGTGGAACACAGACTATCAAAGCCATCGATTCTACAGAAGAAACCAATAATCGCCGACGTCAACAATAAATGTATGTCAGATATTTGGATTCCTCCAGAAATTGAACACGTTGACCACACAAGTATCGACAGAGAGAGAAGAACGTACGGCGTTACGAAGCTCGGTGTTGAGTTGCTGAATAACGAGAGAAAAGCTTCGAGAAACCTTGTGGAGCATCGAATAGCAAAAACCCCAGTGTGGCTCAGGGGGGATCTGCTTCTCCGCTTTCTCAATCGCTCGTTTCATCTTCAGGAGCGGGTATATATCATCCGGATATCTCAGCATCGTCCCCAAGCTCCCCATTGTTTCCAGAAATTTGAATCAGAAATGGTGGATTCGTTGACGAACGAAAGCAAAGTTTTGCTGCGACGATCTGAGATTCAGAGACCACGAGGGAGAGAAATTGCAGGAACCCTCACCTGCGATGTGGATCGACGCGATTCGGCCAGCGAATATCCTATTTTTTAGTTTTGTTTGTTAGTTTTTTTTTTTTTTTTTTTTTTGGGCAAAATGTTTGTTAGTTTATTCATCGATGAAAACAAAGGATTCATTCTGAGCTTTTTTTTTTTTTTTTTTCTGCCAGTGAGCAAAAACTTAAGCTGCATGGAATCGGAAGCGGGTACGTGGAAGCTGAGAGGCGAGTTTTTTAAAAAAATTAGGAAGCAGGTACGTGTTGGAAGCGTAAATATATATATATATTATATATATATATATATATAGATTTATTGAATATTTAATTTACTTTACACTAACCATTGGATATGTATTATAATTCAGAAAATTTTAAACCAAACGAAATACATAACATGTAGAATAATAAATATAGTCATCAAAAGTAAGAAAATGCATTGTTAACAATAAAATATTTTGGATGTCTTAATTGGGCTTAAAACACACATATAAACGGGCCATTTAAATAAAATTGGGCTTAAAAGAATAAAAAAAATTAAAGCCCAAATATGGCTTGTGGTAGTCAGATTCCTTTCAACAAATTTGTCGGAGATGACTTGAGAAGAAGAGTCGCCGATTAGATCTAAAACTGAAACCACCGAAGACAACTTGAAAAGAGGATTCAAATGAATCATGAGCATTCGATATTTTTCTTCATGAGCTTAGGAGAATTTATATGATTTGGAAGAGACCAGAAATCACATTCACACACCAGTAAAAAACTAGGTGGGGGGGGAGAAGAAGAAGACTGCGCTTCCGTTGATAAAAAACCACGCTTCCAGGTCCGAATCGAACGCTTCCCAGAAGCTTCCAATCTTCAATTTTCTGGAACCGCGCTTCCATCACGATTCCGGTCGCTTCCGCACCCGCTTCCGGTTCCGAAGCGAGAATCGGAGATTGGACGGCGCTTCCATGCTTCCTAGGCAAAAACAACTCACAAGGATTCACATTTTTTTTGTTTGTTTCCTTTTTAAGTCAAAAAAACGTTAGAGCCAATGAAAATTGAAAAGAAGCCACGGAAATTAAAGAAATTTGATTTCACCGTTTTTTTAACTAAAAAGAAAATCAAAATGCAAATGGAGAGAAGAACTATTAAAAAAAAAGTGTTAAGTATAATCAAAAATTAACAAAATTAAAGATGATGAAATTATAGAAATAAAATAAGATTTTTAAAAAAAATTGTTGAAACGAAAAAGGTATATTCTAAAAAAATGGAAGAAAAGGTATCTTTTTAGTTTTTATTATCATAAATGGACGAGATCGTAAATAATTTATACTGGCAAAACTTTGTGGCGACGCTGATGTGGCAAAACAATCCTTACGTGGCAAAATATAACTGGTTGTAAATACGTATCTTCCACAGTGTAATTACCAATTGGCACAAGATAACACACGGTGGTTCTCTCCAAGTATGCTTCTATTAAAAGGGTAACTTCCTCTCCTCTGGTTAACAAAAAACAAGCAGTCTTGAAAAATCAAAGAAGCAACCACTCAACAAAACAATTTGGAAAAATGGCGAATCGATCTAGGGTTATCACCATGTCTCCTCTCATTCTCAACCAGGAAGATGAAATCGAACTCGATCTCGATCTCTGGGAAGTCGTTAACCCTTCCGACGGCGAGTTCTCCGACGATTCTTTCTCCGTCGATAGTCTTTCCGATGATGACGTCATATCTCTTGACGACGCTTCCTTTGTCGCACCGTCTGTCATTTCTCCGCCGCCTGAGATAATTCCTGTTGCTGACGGTGGTGATCTCGCCGTGGATCTGGATGGTGATGGTGTTGGGGATGATGTCGTCCGCGATGAAGTTGATGAGAATGATCTTGGATGGGCTCAACGGCGGATGATGTTTCTCGGTGGAGGTTCTGGTTATTCTGTTGGAATTACGTACGGAGATTTTGTTAACGATGACGGCGAAGAAGATCGCGGTGGTGAAGATGGTGAATACGACGATTCCTATGATCTAGACGAAGAGTTGGTTCCGCGTAGCGTGAATAAAAAGGTGGGGAGACAGAGGATGAGGAAACTGGGGAAAAGAGCAATCGCCAAGGTCTATGCCTCGAAGAAGATGTCTCCGTTTTCGCACTTGACACCTGGTATCGTTCGTGGTAAGCATGGTCTCGGCATGAAATTCAAGTGCTGATTGTGTTGGAATTTCGAAGTTTCAAGGCGATGGGACGTGGTTTCTTCAAGAACTCGGTAGAATTTCTCAGTTTCTGGGTTAAATTGATGTGTAAATTTGGTAGTTCAATTTCAATTCCTCTTTAGTAATTCGGATGTTTCTGAAGATCTCATTGTACATGATGGAAATTAAATAACTCTTCTTTTAGTATTCACGAAATGGTTCATGAACTGATCGCTTTCTTTGTGATGCTTCTTTAATTTGGTTGATCAGTTTGTGATTGTGAATCTTGGGTTAGCAAATTCTAGTGTTGAAATTCACATGGAGAAGATGATGTATGGATCATAGGTAACTCTTGATAGATGAGCTCGTTTGATTTTGTGTGAACCTTGGAATTGAAAACGACATCTAAACTTGTAGCAATGATTTAACAGGAAGAAGGTTAGTGTTTGGTGGTGGTTAATTTGGTTATCTTTGTAAGCTTCTGCAATTTTTATGAATGTTGGTGGTTGCTTGGAAAGTCATACTCGTTGGATGTACGCATCACTCTGATTTCGACATTTGAGTGGTTGAGACTTAGATATAACTTTATTTTTCTGATTATTATATCTAACTTCTTGTTGCATGCACTATGGACTTCGTATATACGAATACAAGAGATGCTGGTGTTCTCAAATTGAACTTTCTGAAGCAATTTCTTTTTGGAAGATCCTTAAAGACAGGGAGCTGATTGAATATTTTGGAATTTCTGGATGTCATTATCAAGATCCGAGATTAGCAAACAAATGTGTGAATAAACGTAATGGGTTTAATGTGAATAAAGAGGTAAATTTAAACTGGCCCAACTTGGCCCATCTTCTCAATAAACAATAGATAAGGGGCAAAAGCCAAAACCAGCTTAAACCTTTTACTTATCTTCTTTCTTCTCCGACCTCAGTTTCCAAGCAGAAATGACGGTGAAGATAAGGCTGGCGCGTTTTGGTTGTAAACATAGACCCTTCTATCGTGTAGTTGCCGCCGATGACAAATCGCGGAGGGACGGTAAACAAATCGAGGTTTTAGGGTTTTATGATCCACTCCAAGGTTCGTCTCTTCTCCTCTACCTTTCTCACTTGTCAGTAAAATTCAACACTTGTTCTTCATGTCTCTGCTGCTTACATGAATCTGCTTGCGTGTACCTCCTCAGGGAAAGAAGATGCGAATAGAGTGAGCCTCAAATTCGACAGGATCAAGTATGTTTCTTCTTACTTGTTCTATCATCTTCATATTACTCTTTGCGTGTATAATTGTGTATTTAGGACACTAATTAGTTGTAAATCTCATGATTGTTTGATAAGACTGAAACACTAAACAGTTTATCGACATTATCCATATGATTCTTCCTCATGGGACCCAAAAAACCTTTCATTTTGACTTTTGAGCTCTTTGAACAAAGTTTAACTTGTTTAGATGACACGGTTATTATAAATTATTAGACCGGGCATCGCAATGGAATGCGTTTTCGTGTTTGTCTTTTTATCTTCTTAGTTCATTCTTTTTAGTAATCTGCAAGGTCATAAGCTTGTTCTTGCGACAATGATGCTGCTTAATTGCTTAGATTGTTTTCTCTTATCTGACAAATTGAGAAATTCTTTCCGTTGATTCTGTGTCCGAAACTCTATTTGCATAAGGGTCCCATCCTTAATTCCTCTGCTTTCTCAGTCATGTTTGGCTGTTTCTACACCTAATGCATCACTAGGACTAGGAGTGTTTCTGTTTTTCTTTAATATACAACTCTCTTGCCATTGAAAACAATAAGCAGCCCTTTCATCTGTTGCAAATTTTCTGTGAGGCTTGGTTTTGCTTGTATGATTGATTTGATTACACTACTCTTAACAGTCTAAATCCACTCACTTCCTAGTAGCTTACTAAACTTTAAATGCACAACTGTTGAAAGAAATCGATTTTCACACATGTTACTTGAATAATGCAGGTACTGGTTATCTGTTGGAGCTCAACCAACAGACTCAGTGGAAAATATGCTGTTCAGGGCCGGTTTGATACCCCCAAAGTCTATGGTCGTGGTAGGTTCGAAAAATGGACAGCAATCTACAAGCCAACATGTTTCACCCATAACAGGTGAAATCTTGAACTAGGAGTGTTGATGCGCTGAGCAAGAAAGAGCCTTTTGTGTCTATGTGAAAGGAGTTTATGTAATGTTTCATGTTTGTTTAAGAGTTATGACTTTTGTGCAACATTGACTTGATAAACAGAGTTTGGTGAATTTTTTTAATATGAGCAGGCCTTTTTACGTTAACAACTCTCGCTTCAGACTAAATGGGCTTTGGTAAGAGGCCCATATTTTTCAGGAATTGGGTTCATTCTCAATATCTGGAATTCTGGATTGAGAGCTAAAGACAGGAATTATTTATCTTCTAACCTGAAAATGATCTAGCACATTTTAGAACCTCGTTCTTACCTTTTATATTTCTTTACTTTTACATGGTGTAGTTGTATAATTTCATTTGTCAAATATATATTCTCAATTTATCATACAGGTGTGAAACGCTTTATATTCCTTCTTCAAATTTGTATTTCGTCTTTTTGGTCTCAGTGTCTGCCAAAATGTATTTCTGTCGTCTAGATATATACACTATATATGCGTAACGTTAAAACATAAAACACATTCAAGAGAGTCACTAGACAATAAACTTGTAAAAGAAAATGTTATAGTTATGAACAAAGGATGTGTCTTGGGGACATTACAGCTCTATTGGGCCAACAAAATCTCGCGCTTCGTATCCCATTAGATTCTCTCTCTCTCTCTCTCTTGCTTCAGAGATGTTCATTGTTCGTATTATTACGGCATCTCTGGCTCTGACCCTCTCGCTGCAACATCTGTCCCAAATTCAGACAGCTTTTTCCCTCTATTGTCATTCTACACCTATTACTTTATATTTCTTCAAAAATCCACCCTCAGCTTCCTATCACTGTCTAAGTTATTCTCATTATCTTTGTGTTGTTTCTCTCAAGTCTCAGCCCATGGAACTAACTATTCTCTCACTCTCAAATCAGTATTGTACCCTAATTTAATTTTAAAGATTATAGTAGTTACCAATTTAGGACATAGGAATTAGCTAGGATATAGAATTCTGTCAAACAAGAAAGTGAATGCTAAGTTTAGAAGCATTTGAAAGAAAAAGTACTAATCCATAAATACCTACAAGTTGTTTCCAGGAAAAGACAAAACTCAGTGGGGAAAACGAGCACTTATGGTGTTTACAAAATGAAAATAAAAAGAAGAAAAAGTTGTGTTTGTTATTTTTTGGGACCCTTATTTCTTTAATAGTTGCATAGCCTCTGGACGACCAGAGTCCACGAATGTATAATCAGATACCAAAAAAGTATGAAAGAAATATATAAAGAAAAGGAAGAAGAAACAATCATGGCTTGGCTTACTTAAAAAGTAAAACTAAAGTTAATGAACTAAACTATTCATCAGAAAACAATTTGTGATATTACTTAATCAAAACTCGCTATCATCTACTAATCCGCTAAATTTTGTTGTGGATTTGCAAAATAGACTATAACATGCACACTTCCGAATTTGAATTTAAGATAAGACTAGTACAAACCAATTAACTATAAGTAGTAGTCACATATGAGATTTAAAAAGATTAGTTTGTATATTAAAAATATAAGGTAGTTTGAAAAAAAAATATCGAAATAGATACTTTTCAATTGATGAAAAGGTCCACTAAATCTAAAATTTTCTTAAAATTTAAGAACTAGCTAGTACTAGTAGTTGATTCTTTGTAGTTTTCAACTTAAGTAAAGAAAATAGAAAATGCAAAATGTGATTATATGGAGGATATTGATTTAATCAATGTGTTTTTAAGAGACAGAGCGAGAGAGATAAGGATTGGGATTAAGATTAGGTTTAGGATTGGGAGAAAAATGAAGAGAGGGGTTTAGGTCGACCAACTGGTTGTTAAAGATAGAAACTCCTTAACCATACATTTATATAACATTTTCGCAATAATTTTCTTCTCTTTTTACCAAAGACTTGATTCCAAGAATCAGTAAGCAAGAAACAGGAGGTTCAAGCACCAACCAGATTATGGCTTTCTGAAGCAGTATCTCCGGGAAAAATAAAAAGGTTTTTATATGAGTTTTTTTCCCCTTTTAAATTTTAAATAAGAAATACAAAAAATTTATTTGCATTCTTACTTCTGGAGGAGGGAGAGAATGATATGGGTCTTTCACGTGTGACATTGATGAGATGATGAATTCAAATTATATCTCATACCAAAAAAAACAACCAAGAGAAAGAGGCGTAATATTTGATTTCTTTCCTTTAAAATTTCAATAAAATCTTTCACATTTTGTTATTCTTTTCAAGATTTGGTTGTCTCCTTCAACAATCCATCAGAATCAGGAGTTGATTTCCAGGTAATTCTCTTTATTAATCTTTCTTTATTTCTATTCAACTTCTTTTTTTCGTCTATGAATTTTGCTTACATCTTCATAATTGCATGCATAACGAATTCAAGACATGATGAAATCTTACATGTTTATTTCATACACCTATTCTGGATCATACTCTGTTTCAATTGTTTTTAAATCTGTTTAGTTTCAAGCATTTCCTCCATTAGTTAAGTTCTTATAACAGGATGGATTTTGTTGAATGATGATAAACTCAAGTTTCCAGGCTGATGCTATGACTTGATCAGAAAACAAGGGACTATGGAACTCTATTGAGCCAAGAAGAACACTCCATTTCGATGGAGAATTATCCGGAAACAAAGTTTCTTCCCGGAAATTCAATGATCCAGAATGCTACAGTTTCTTACTCTGAGGGATTAGCTGGTAGAGAAAGAACTGAAGCTAACAATGTCTCAGCCTCACAAGAGAGGCAAGCATTGTCAAGATTTGGCGGAATTTCGCAAATGCAGAATCTTGATCAAGATTTCGGTTCTTGGAGAGATCAAGCGAGTGACAGGAACGGTTTCCAGCTAATGAGCGCGATGGCAGGTGCCACGGGGATTCTTCAGACTGGTCAGGGACTGTCCCTTAGCCTTGGTTCACAGATTCTTCCTGGAATTCATCAAATGAGCCATCAAAATATGGCGCCGAGAGCCGAGCATTTCAGAGGCAATGAATATGCAACACAGAGCTTCCTGGTCGGGAATCAGAATTTGGATGTTGTGAGGAAAATTCCCAACTCAAAGTATCTCAAGGCGGCTCAACAGCTTCTAGATGAGGCTGTTAATGTTAGGAAAGCTCTAAAGCAGTTTCAGACAGAGGGGGATAAAAACAACGAGAACCCTCAAGAACCAAATCAGAACACTCAAGACTCGAGCACGAATCCTCCTGCGGAAATCTCTCATTCAGAGAGACAAGAAATGCAGAGCAGGTTGACAAAACTCTTGTCAATGTTGGACGAGGTAATGACTTGAGACCTATCTTCTAAATTTGATCATGTGATAGTTACCTTTTATAGGCCTTTGTTATAATATTTTAAATGCAATAAAGCATACATTTAAATAAATTGCAGCCATAATGTTGTTACATTTGGTACATAGGATATGTTGGATAAAACAAATGAGATATTTGCATTTGATTTTGGTAAAGGTGGATAGAAGATATAAGCAATATTACCAGCAGATGCAGATAGTTGTATCCTCGTTCGATGTGATAGCAGGTTATGGAGCAGCAAAACCATACACAGCACTCGCCCTTCAAACAATTTCTCGCCATTTTCGTAGCCTAAGGGATGCGATATCCGGACAAATCCTCGTGATACGGAAATGCCTTGGGGAACAACAAGATGGATCAGATGGGAAAAGAGTTGGCATCATAAGCCGGCTTAAGTACGTTGATCAACATTTAAGACAGCAAAGAGGTTTTATGCAACCTCAAGCGTGGAGGCCTCAACGCGGTCTACCTGAAAACTCTGTTTTGATTCTTCGTGCTTGGCTCTTTGAGCATTTTCTTCACCCGTAAGTCTCTTCTGAATATCATCTCCACACATTTTCTTCATAAATAATGCTGATTACTGTTTCAAAACATGAATACAGTTACCCAAAGGATTCTGATAAGATCATGCTAGCAAGACAAACGGGCTTGAGCCGCGGTCAGGTAAGGAATGTTTTATTTGAAGATTATTCTTTCTCTTCATACTGTAATTTATTTATGGATTATTGTGTGTTTTATGTTTGTAAAAGGTTTCAAACTGGTTTATAAATGCACGAGTGCGTTTATGGAAGCCAATGGTGGAGGAGATATACAAGGAGGAATTCACAGAGAATGATTCCAACTCTTCTTCCGAAAATACACCAAAAATGTCTGAGATAGGACATGCTGCTGCTGTTGATGAAGATCGAGCTCAAGAGTTTTCACAAGACCAGACCAAACCGGACCATGGACATAAATATGGTGAGGAAACTCGTGGCATGGTCCAAGGCAGTCATATGGATGGTCGCAAGTTCATGGCAGTTGAGCCTACATATAATGTGGCTGATATGTCAAGATTGGGTCGTGGTGATGTGTCCTTGACTCTAGGGCTTCAAAACTCTCAAGGACATGGTACTGTTGTGGCTATGTCCAGTGAGGCGGCATACAACTTTTCCGGGGTAGATATATACGAGAATGCCATCCCGGGAGCTGAAATGGAGTATGTAAACCCCAGAAGTCGCCAGAACCGGATTAATTCTTCACAATTGGTACATGATTTTGTAGCTTGAAGAAGTAAGCAATGGAGAGGAATAAAGCGTAGGTGTTATGATCAGTCTCAATTCTCTAGTGGAAGAAAGTTGGTCAGAAGAAAAAGTCTTAGAAATATTTGTATAAAGTAAACATTCTTTTGTGTAAGAAATATAAGTGAGGCTAGGTCATTGGGACCAAACACAATATGGGAAATGCAATTTGAGATCTGCAAGAGATGGACATTAAACTGTAGCAATTATATCTTATCACATCTACTATATACAATCTGTATCCGTTTTCAGCATTAATGGAATATTTCAATATTAATATTTGATCATAAAAATTCTTTTTTTTTTTTTATCATAAAAATTCTATCAGATAAATTGAATATTCATCTAATTTTTTTCGTTTAACCGACAATATTGATGACTATATTTACCAAATTTACATTCGCATGATAGCAAAGAACACTATCTAATCATTATTTTACTAGACAACATATCTTCAAACTTATATATATGATTATCATTCAAACTTATTGCAGTGTTAGTATTTAGGTTTACATATAGTATACATCTCATAAAGTCTGGCATCTATATATAGTCGATCGATGATATGATCAGTTGGGAATAAGCTTGAAAGGAGGCCTCACGAGCTTTGGTTTAGGACTGAAGTGGCCATAGTCTACTGAATTCATTCTCAAGATTCTCTCATGCTCATGTATTCTTCTTTCCACCACCTGTCCACAAATAGAATGTGTTCACCAACGTACAAATCGTTCTTGAAATCATCTAAATACTTCTTGAATATATCAAATTATTCGGTTTTACTAAGTATAGATATACAACGCACGGAAGTTGGCAACTATGTATGGGGTTAAAACGACTACCTCTGGATGATCATCTTCTTGGCTATAGATTAGAATGGATGATCGTCCTACAAAAAAAAAAGAGAGAGAGTCTTAGGCTTCTCTTTTCTTTATATCGAAGATTAAGCACTCCAAATAATGCTAAGTTAATTTTCTCCTTTAGTCATTAAATCAGTATTTAGAAACACACATGTGGAGAGCACAAGCTCTTAATGTTATTATCTTACTTTCCAAAAGACTGATCGCAAGTAGTAGGCACATGAATTTGCAGAAAAAAGCTGCAAACAAAGGAATATAAATATGTTGATAGAGAGAGAGAACAGAAAGAAACAAACCTGCAGAAGAGAGAGCAAACGCTGAAGCTGAAATAAGAAGAAAGATGAAACCTAGTTTCTTCACCAATGGCAATAAACCCATTTTGATGTTTTTCCAATTTTTGTCTATGGAAAAGCAAAGTTTTTGAAAGTGTTTGATGTGCTCTTAAGCTATATCTTGTGTATTAAGATACACCTTATCAAAAAAAGAGAAGCCTGTGCGTTTGGTATATCACTATATATAATCACTAAAGAAATAATTAACACCATTAAAAGGTAACTAATATTTTAGCCAACATGAATGCTTTAAAAAAAACAAAACAAAAAAAACCGGTTTAAATAGAGATTGGCTTGATGAGATTGTATCAGTTATAACTAAATAAAAATACATTACAAAAAAGGATTTATCCATCATTTAATTAATGCAAACATCTCTTAATGCTTTTAACTAAAAAATTGTTCACGAAAATGGTGGGATTGGAGAAAAAGTTGAAAGGAGACCACTTTCCTATTGTTGGCCACAATAAGTCTAAAGAGGTTAGTGACTTGATTATTTAATATGAGTGGCTTCATTATTTTATTAAGAGATAGACGACAATCATAACCCAATTAAATTTACCAAATCATCATAATGGTAGAAATCCTTAAAGACTAGGTATTCAATATCGGTCAAAGTTCATTTCCTATACTAATGTACGATTAGGCCTCTATAAATTTGATAAATGCTGTATGATAAACTACTGCGTTTAACTCAAATCAATCGATCATAAGATAATTATTGAAAATTATAGGCTTATGGTTAGGGTCACAACTTTTTTCACAAAAAAAAAGTAAGTACTAATGTATATAGTATTTGCAAAGTGTCAAACTTAAATGGATTGCTGATTGAGATTATGGAAAAAAGAGAACAAAGTTGTTTAAACTTTGCTTCGATGCACTGATTCGTCGCACAATAAATATCTTAGATGGATTGCTGATTAATTGAGACTATGGAAAGAGAACAAAGTTGTTTGAACTTTGCTTTAATGAACTGATTCGTCACTATAATTAATGTTCGTCGTATTATTTTATGGTTTCACATAAAAAGGAGTAAAGATGATGTAGTGGATGATGACCGTACTCTCACGATTCTTAATTTCAGTTTTTTTTTTGTCACTAATATTATTTTTTAAGCTGGTATGAGTGCACATCCTAACAAGAAACCATAACTCATTTTGAAGAAAACCGGCCTAATTAATTTTTGACCAAAAATATATATTCTATGATTAGAGTGTTAAATATAGTATTGTTATCAATTCTGTGATTCAAATTTCTGGAAACAATGGATGATATTGTTGGATGCCTTCATCTATTTCAGAGACGGTTGAGGAATTAAGTTGCTGAACCAGATGCACCTTTGATCTCATTACTGAGCCTCTCCATCCGAGCTTCCTTAGGCTGACATCCAGTCTCTAGACAGATGCATATGCGGAAGTTTCTGTAACGTTTAAGTACATGAGTACATGACGTACGCTCATAGGGTTGTTCATGGCGGTGGAGTTAGTCGGCGTCATTATAACCACCTCCGCCGTGAACGGAAGTTTAGGACTCATAACTAAAATCATTTCCACTTTTCGACAAAAACAATATAATCTCATGTACTCTTAGATCAAAACCTGTGACCAAATAATTTCCATTTATAAATCGTTACGCTGTAAAAAAAATGTGACCGTTGTAACGGAAAAGGGTAATTTTGTCTTACCGAAGTTATGATCAATTTCCATTTTTTTTTGTAGCCCAAATATGAAAAAAGGAAACCCTAGAACCTGATATTTCCTTTTTTTTTGTGCGTTAACATTTTCTTATAAATACTCATATCTTCTTCCTTCTTTGGAAAATCAAATTTTTCATTCCAAAAAAAAGTCTGCGAAATCAGTTATGTGAATGTCATTGTCATATATACAGAGAAGATCGTAGATCTTGAGATCATGAAGCCGGTGTTAATTCGCTAAGGCCAGAGATCATTCGTACCACACCACTCGAGAGTCGAGAGAAAAGTCTCTTGCGTTTGATCTCTCTAACCAATCATGGAGGATTAGTGCGAGTTCCGGCAACGAGTTCGAGGTGACGACGCAAATTGCGGGTGCATCTTTGCTTTCGGGAAAACGCATAGAGACTTCCAATGCAAGTGACGACGAGATTTGGGGTTCCGAACAGTTTCACACTAGGAACCGCCTGAGGAGATATCTTCACCATCAACAAAATTGCAGTTCCGGCCCAAGTCAAAGAAGAAGAGATGGGCTTCAGATTACAACGAATGGGCTTTAGCAAACAACGTCACCCAGTTACACGACAGTCAGGTTTGTTGATTTCTTAATTTCATTTTTTTTAATAAATATTTTGATTTCCTTATTAATTAACTTTATAGATAAATAACTGATTAGGTCAACACTTATTTATCACTTTTATTTTTTCGGATTTCAAACTAAAATAAAAGGTTTTTAAGGCTATTATTATACAAGATATTTTTATAATCAAAATGTTTTCAAACTTAAATGTTAAATTTAAATACGTGAAAACTAACCGGACTTAGCATCCCGTCCTTTGGTCCGTAAGTCTTGTGGTGTCATAAGTTCAACATGTTTTCACGTATTTAAATTTAATTTTAAGGGTTTTTCAAAAATAATGTTTTAAGTAATATTTTTAGCTGAAATTTGTTTACTATACAAAATATTTTTATTGACAAAATATTTTCAAACTTAAATGATAAATTTAAATACGTGAAAACTAACCGGACTTAGCATCCCGTCCTTTGGTCCGTAAGTCTTGTGGTGTCACAAGTTCAACATGTTTTTCCGTATTTAAATTTAATTTTAAGGGTTTTTCAAAAATAAAGTTTTAAGTAATATTTTTAGCTGAAATTTTTTTATAGTACAAAATAGTTTTATTAAAAAAATGTTTTCAAAATTAAATGTTAAATTTAAATACTTGAAAACTAACCGGACTTAGCATCCCGTCCTTTGGTCCGTAAGTCTTGTGGTGTAACAAGTTCAACATGTTTTCACGTATTTAAATTTAATTTTAAGGGTTTTTCAAAAATAATGTTTTAAGTAATATTTTTAGCTAAAAGTTTTTTACTATACAAAATGTTTTTATTGACAAAATGTTTTCAAGTTTAAATGTTAAATTTAAATATGTGAAAACTAACTGGAATTAGCATCCCGTCCTTTGGTCCGTAAGTCTTGTGGTGTCATAAGTTCAACATGTTTTCACGTATTTAAATTTAATTTTAAGGGTTTTTCAAAAATAATGTTTTAAGTAATATTTTTAGCTAAAAGTTTTTAGTTATACAGAATATTTTTATTAACAAAATGTTTTCAAATTTCAATGTTAAATTTAAGAAAAATTGTTAAAAATGTCCCTTTTTCAATATCCCTTTTCAAAAATGCCCTCTTTGAGAGTCCATTTTTAAGTTTGCCCTCTTTTAATTTTTAATGACCATTTTACCCTTATTTGAAACAAAATTAGGTCCACAAAATACAAAATATTTTTTGGCGGGAAAAGTGATCCCGCAATTTTCCTGCCAAAACACTTGTAAAAACCTTTAAAAAACCTTGTAAAATTTTCCCGTAAAAATTTTTCCCGCCAAAAAAATTTTTTTGCGGGAAAAGTTATTCCGCAATTTTTTTTGCGAAATTTTTTTGGCGGGAAAATTTTTGGCGGGAAAAATTTACAAGGTATTTTAAAGGTTTTACAGAGTATTTACAAGTGTTTTGTAAGGTTTTACAATGTATTTTAAAAGGTTTTACAAGGTACTTATAAGGTTTTATAAAGTATTTATAACTTGTAAAACCTTATAAAAAACTTGTAAAACCTTATAACTTGTAAAAACCTTATAAAATAGCTTGTAAAATCTTATAATATCTTATAAATACCTTGTAAATACGTTGTAAAACCTTTTAAAATATATTGTAAAACCTTATAAATACCTTGTAAAAAACCTTTAAAATACCTTGTAAATTTTTGGCGGAAAAATTTTTCCCGCCAAAAATTTAACGCCAAAAAAATTGCGGAATCACTTTTCCTGCAAAAAAAATTTTTTGGCGGGAAAAAGTTTTACGGGAAAATTTTACAAGGTATTTTAAAGGTTTTACAAGTTTTTACAAGTGTTTTGGCGGGAAAAATTGCGGGATCACTTTTCCCGCCAAAAAATATTTTGTATTTTGTGGACCTAATTTTGTTATATTTCCTTATATATTTGTGATATCTTTTATTAAAAGAAGGGTAATTTAGTCATTTTGTAAATAAAAAAGGGTATTTTTAAAAATGGATAGCCAAAGGGGGCATTTTTGAAAAGGGGTATTAAAAAAGGGGCATTTTTGTGAGTCTCCCTAAATTTAAATACGTGAAAACTAATCGGACTTAGCATCCCGTCCTTTGGTCCGTAAGTCTTGTGGTGTCATAAGTTCAACATGTTTTCACGTATTCAAATTTAATTTTAAGGGTTTTTCAAAAATAATGTTTTAAGTAATACTTTTAGCTAAAAGTTTTTTGTCATACAAAATATTTTTATTAACAAAATGTTTTCAAACTTAAATGTTAAATTTAAATAAGTGAAAACTAATCGGACTTAGCGTCATGTCATTTGGTCTGTAAGTCTTGTGGTGTAATAAGTTCAACATGTTTTCACGTATTTAAATTTAATTTTAAGGTTTTTCAAAAATAATGTTTTAAGTAATATTTTTAGCTAAAAGTTTTTAGAGAAATTGTTAAAAATGCCCCTTTTTCAATACCCCTTTTCAAAAATGCCCCTTTTGAGAGTCCATTTTTAAGTTTGCCCTCTTTTAATTTTTAATGACTATTTTACCCTTATTTGAAACAAAATTAGGTCCACAAAATACAAAATATTTTTTGGCGAGAAAAGTGATCCGGTAATTTTCCCGCCAAAACACTTGTAAAAACCTTTAAAATACCTTGTAAAATTTTCCCGTAAAAATTTTTCCCGCCAAAAAGTTTTCCCGCCAAAAATTTTTTTTTGCGGGAAAAGTGATTCCCCAATTTTTTTGCCGAAATTTTTTTGGCGGGAAAAATTTACAAGGTATTTTAAAGGTTTTACGGAGTATTTACAAGTGTTTTGTAAGGTTTTACAATGTATTTTAAAAGGTTTTACAAGGTACTTATAAGGTTTTATAAGGTATTTATAACTTGTAAAACCTTATAAAAAACTTGTAAAACCTTATAACTTGTAAAACCTTATAAAATAGCTTGTAAAATCTTATAATATTTTATAAATACTTTATA